GGGTGTTGTGACTCTGCTAATAAAATCTGGACAGGACTCCAGGAATTTTTTTTTCATTTTTGTAGATTTATTCCATTATACTGTATTCATCATTGGCTTTTCCTTCTATTCAAATATGGAGCTTTTCCTAGTGGGAGATAGAAAATAAACCAGGGAACAAACAACCAAATAATTACCAATTGTGACAAATATCTAACCATGATAGATAAAAGGAGCAAAAGGAAGCTGTTTTAAGATAAAGGGGTGGGGAAGAGACTTTTCTGGTCATGGTAATATATTTATCCTACTGTGGTTATGAGTTAATTCCGTTTGTAACTTGGATAATAACATGAAATTCAATAGCAGCATGAGCATAACAGCCTCTCCACCAGGGGGCGTTTGTCAACCCAACCTTGGTTTGGCGCATTCCTTGGTCCAGTCTCCCAAACTGTTTTCTGCTTGGGAAGAGTGTAAGTCAGGGCCCTCCCCTTGCCTCAGGATGGACCCTGCCCCTTTTCTTTAGCCTAGGAGTTAGCAAGCAAAACAGGTGTTAAGAGCTTTGATCTTGTTAGAGACTTGGAGACAGATCAAGGCAGATGCCTCTGAAATAATGCCACGGATGTGAGAAACGGGAGAAATTGAGACAGAGGTAGACAGAAAGGCAAAGGGATTTCAGAGACTCCCCTTTTACCTCCTTTCTCAGCTCAATAGGTTCAGAGTGAGGGGTAGGGCCTTCTGGTTTTAGAGGGGAAAGATGTCTCCTGCATGGCTTTAGCGACCCCCCCTGGACATTCCTAGATCTCTGCTGCTGCTAGAGACACCCAGGGTTGTGAGAAGCATTCAGTGGGCCAATTCTCTAGCAGCCACATGGGGTTTTCCCATTCGTGGGGCCTGCCACTGACCATTGTCCTGCATCTATCATCTGGTTGGGAGCATTAGCGCATGTCTCTTCCGGGGGACAGGTGCTGTCCCTAACCCTGTTTCCCACTTTGGTCTGCAGCTTAGGTTCATGGTTCCTCTTCTCATAGGGGATGTGCCTTCTTAGCCACTGTGAAGGATACTTTGTATCATTGAGCGGGTCTGACTTCAGTTAATGCAAGATTCTCTAGCGCTGTATCCTCACTGCTCCTAACCATCTCCTTCAATTTAGATTAGCTTCTTTGTAAGAATTGACCTTAATAGGAATAGAAGCTGATCCTCTGCTCCCAGGTGAATCCTATCTCTTTACACCATGGTACAGACATAAAGGATCCATACAGTTTTGATGAGGCGTTTGTTGCAGGAGATAGAACTGTACTTGTTTGGAACTGATAGAGCTTTACTCGGGATAGACATCTAATTACCATAGATGGACAGGCACCTATGGAATCTTTAGATCAAATGGACAGATTCTTGTCTAAGTCAAGCCACATGTTGTACCTAAAATTAGAAGCACATAGGAGTAACTGCATTCCTTCTATCTGCACTGAGCCAGAAGCTGAGAGTAAGACCTGAAGCTGGCTTTGAACCTGTGTAAGGAGCTTTATGCTGTGGGTGTAAGTTAAAGGATACAATAGAAAATAACACTGCTGGGGCTAAAGAGATGGTTCAGTGGATAACAGTGCTTGCTATGCAAGCACGAGGACCTGAGTTTGGATGCCAGCACCTATGTAAAAATCCGGGTGTGGCCATGTGCACACCTGTTTCTCAATACTGATGCTACTTTGCTATCTGTGGATGTAGAGATGGGAAGGTTGCTGGGCATCGTAACTTCACATCAGTGTGGTGAATACAGTGGACTTTCCCAAGGACCTATGTTCAGAAGATGGAGGGAGGAGGAGAGAGCACTAGAGAGTGAAATTATACTGTCTGGGTTCCTTCCCTAGGGGATGTCATGGCACAGGAGGAGAATTTAGGAAAACTCACTATCTATGCTAACTGCCTTTTTTCTAAAACAAACAAACAAACAAAAACAAACAAACAAACATGTTATCCTTTCCCAATCATTTCCAAATTGCAGGAGTACCAGTAACTTCCACAATTTTTAAAAAAGATCGACTTATTTCCATTTCATGTGCACTGATGTTTTGCTGGCCTGTATGTAAGTGCAACATGTGCATGAGGTGCCCAAGGGAGTCAGAAGTGGGTGTCAGGTCCCCTAGAACTCAAATTAAAGATGGATGTGAACTGCCATGTTGGTGCTGGGAACTGAATTCCAGGCCTTTGAAAAAGTGGTAAGCACTCTTAGTTGCTGATCCATCTCTCCAGTCCCTTCTCTAATTCTTTATTTCACAACCTGTAGGTTTACCTTGTTAAGCTACCCTTAAATATCCACCCCTGTGTGTGTCTCAGTTAGCGGCGTCTTGGGTTGGTCCACAGGGATTTCCTGTAAAAGGCCTGCTGGTTCTCTCTCTCTCTCTCTCTCTCTCTCTCTCTCTCTCTCTCTCTTTCTTTCTTTCCGTCAGGTTGATTTCTGTCTGAGGAAGCTGTGGAAGTAGAGAAAGTTTATTCACTGCAACTTTGGCTGATTTGGTCTTGTAATGATTATCCTACAAATGTTCCCATCCCAGCCTGCTTGTCCTCTAAGCCCACCCACTTCTACCTATCAATCACCTACCGGCCTATTTTGTCTTTCTTTTATCTTCACTTACACTTCTTTTCCCAGCCTTCATCAGTGATTTTGAAGAAATACGAAGAAGGTTTCAGAGACAACACAAGAGACAGGGAATTAGGCACAGTAGAAGTCTTGGTGGTTAGGTTTCAGGAAGGACTTTCACGGTGATCTAAGATGCTGAGGTGAAGGAGCCTGAAGCTTAAATAAGATGTGGTTAAATTAAGGGGCCAGGGCAAAAGGAATTCCTTGGGTTTATAGAACAGTGTTTTGGCTTATTTTAGCCCACTCTTCCTTCTTTTCTTCTTTTGTGGGTTTATGATATAGTTGATAATCCCTAAGGAGGTAGAGGGGTCAAGGTAATGCCTGGATTGTGGTTCTTTCCCAGACTCAGTGACAGTCACCTTCTTGGGTTCACATTATTTCTTAGACATAGACTTTTGGCTTCACTTAATTGGTAATTGGAAGTTGAATGGCTACAGAAACGAGAGAGAGAGAGAGAGAGAGAGAGAGAGAGAGAGAGAGAGAGAGAGAGAGAGAG